TTGGTATATTATTAATGTACAAACTGACTTGTAAGTCACACACCAAAGAAAGCATGGATTACCCTATTTATAATCCAGTGCCTAGAAAATTTTTAAAGCCCCTATCACAGAGCTTCTTCATATATAAAATAGGTCAACAGATGGCAATATCACTAGTAAGTCTCAGTAGATGGTGAATGTCCTGTGATTTCACTACTGCATTATGGAGATGAAAATGAAAAAAAAAATAGTCATCACTAGACTTTAACCTCCAAGTGAAACTGCTGCCATCCAGAGGTGACAGTTGTTCAATTTTTTCATAGTCACTGGAATTCACCACTAGTTGAAAGACATGAAAATTGAATTTTGCTCTTTCTTGGCTATAGGTAAACAATATGCATGCTTCTCTGTGCAAGGTAACAGAAGTGAACTGCAGCACCCAGACAGCCTCATGGTCAGAGTGTTCCCTGTGGTCACCATTGTTTAGATGCAGTTATTGGATAAATTTCAGGGTGTGTGTGTGTGTGTGTGTGTGTGTGTGTGTGTGTGTGTGTGTATACAGAGAGAGTTATATATTATATTTAAAAGTTTTATTTTATATTATGTGAAATATAACAACGTTTTATAGGCTGGGTGCAATAATAATAGTTTAATAGGCTGGGTGCAGTGGTGCACGCCTTTCATCTCAGCACCTGAGAGGCAGAAGCAGAAAGATCTCTGTGAGTTTGAGGTTAACCTGGTCTACATATTGAGTTCTTGGCCAGCCAAGGCTATATAGTGACATCCTGTCTCCAAAACCAAAAATCACAGAAACAAAACAAACCCAGTTTTATATCAGTGCTCTAACTTAAAAGCAATATCCCAATGAGGGCCAGGCAGAAGAGATGGCTCAGTGGTTAAGAGCACTAGCTGCATGGGGTGATATTGCGTTCCCCAATATATTGTGCATCCTAATAAACTTATCTGGGGTCAGAGAACAGAACAGCCACTAGATATAGAGGCCAGAAAATGGTGGCACACATGCCCTTAATCCTAGCATTCCAGAGGCAGAGATCCATCTGGATCTCTGTGAGTTCAAGGCCACACTGGAAACAGTCAGGCATGGTAACAAGAGCCTTTAATCCCAGTAAGTGATGGCAGGAAGCAGAAAGGTATAAAAGGCGTGAAAACCAGGAACTAGCCTGGTTAAGCTTTTAGGCTTTTGAGCAGCAGTTCAGCTGAGATTCATTCTAGATGAAGATTCAGAAGCTTCTTGTATAAGGAAACAAGATCAGCTGAGGAATTGGCGAGGTGAGGTGGCTGTGGCTTGTTCTGCTTCTCTGATCTTCCAGCATTCGCCCCAATACCTGGCTCCAGGTTTGTTTTTATTAATAAGACCTTTTAAGATTCATGCTACAGCCGCACTTGCAGAGGACTCAGGCTTGGTTTCCAACACTTCATGGAGACCCATAACCATCCCTAACTCAAGTTCCAGAGCATCTGGTACCCTCTTCTGACCTCTGCAGGCACCATGTGTGCACATGGCACATTTATGCAGGCAAACACTCATACACAATAAAATGAAATAAATAAATCTTGAAATGTTAAATAAGCTTACAACAACAACAACATGAATCTCTATTACAGTTCTGAAGGCTAGAAGTTCAGAAGAGATCTTATTGGACTAAAATTTACACTGGGGCCTTCTTCCTTTGGTAGGGTTAAGGGAAAACTCCTCCTTGTTCTAAGAGTCTCTAGAGACTACCTGCTTTCCAAGGCAAGGGCCCTGTCCTCCTTCTTCAAGGCCAACACTATAGCATTTAACTGTTTCTCTGATGCCCTGCCTTCTCTATTGAGGAACCCCATATTTAGATTAGAACACACCCCCCCCCCAACGTGACTTAGAAACATCTCTACATCTCAAGGTCTTTACTTCAATCGTATTTCAAAAGACCATTTTTTTATGTAACGTTCTTGGTACACAGGATGGGAGTTAGGACAAATTTGTCTGTGGACATTAGTTTGTAACGACACATGTATAAATGTAAACAACCATCCGGCTTCAGGGGTTGTGGGGGCACACAGAGGCTCCCTAGTGAGGCCTCACTCAAGGTCAAAAGTCCAACCGATAAAGACCTGACTCCCTGTGCAGATCTCTCAGCAACCTGTCTCACCAGGCACTGTGCCCTAGCCTCAGGTCACAGTTGATACACAAGGAACCTTGGAACATTGAGTTGCCATGGTGAATGGATCTGGTCCTTACTGTTTACTCAAGAAATGCGCTATGACTTTCAGAGGTAGCTTTGGAACTCCTTTTGTTATTGAAAAAAGCCTCCTGAAAAATACGTATACAGCTGTGCAGAACAGAGGAGAACTAGAAAGAATTAGAACTTAGAAGGAATTAGAACTAGGAAGAATTAAAGCCTTTTAAATTAGAACTGAAGAAGAATAAAGAGCATGACCTGACCAGATCGTATGTGAAGTTATTATAGAAATCTTTCTATCCTCACTCTTGAGAAGTCTTCTCTCAGTTACTCTGGGTAGTGGCTTGGGAACTGGATTCAAAGGCGGCTAAAATCAACATGGCCTCAGGCAGCAACAAGAACCACAGACACCTACATGGGCCCCAGTGGCAGGATGGGCCATAGATATCGATATAGCCTCAGGCTGCAGCATAGATCATAGACATCCACATGGCCTCTGGATGTAACACAGATCACAGACATCAACACGGCCTTCAGCAGCAGCATGAACAAGGCCATAGACATCTGCTTGTCTTCTGGAGGTAGAACTGACCAAGAATATCAACATGGTCTATGGCTGCAGCACAGATCAAGGACACCAATGTGGCCTCTGATGGCAACACAGACCACAGACTTCAACAAGGCCTCTGGTGGTAGCTCAGACCAGGGGCACCAACATGGGCTCCAATGGCAACATGGACCATAGCCATCAACAAAGGCCTCCGGCAGCAGCAAAATCCACTGACTTCAGCATGGCCCCAGGTAGCATCATGAACAAGGGATGCCAACATGGCTTGAGGGCAACTCTGGTGGCACAGACCATGGACCAAACAATGAATATCAACATGGCCTCCAGTGGTAGCACAGACCACAGAGGCAGACAGGGCTCCTAGTGGTAACAGAAACCATGTTAATCAACATGGCCCCCAGCAGCATCTCAGACTGTGGACACAAGCATGACCAGGGGTATTCCATTATTGTAAGTAAATTTGCTGCAACTCTGTGGGTTTGGTCCTGAATTTCTGCACCAAAACGTGAGTTTTGCAACTCTGAGAAGAGGTATCCTGACCACTTGGGAGTCAGGTAACAGCTGGGGCTGCCATGAGACAGCAGCCCTGGAGGGCGAGGTAGCAGCTTAGAACAGCTGACAGCTGGAGGACAAGGTATCCCGTATGCCTGGAGCCACAAGCCGCATAGGACAGCTCTGATGGCTGGAAGGCAAGATATCCCACATACCTAGAGCCACTTAGGGCAGCACTGCCCTGCAGGGGAAGTTTTTCTGACTGCTCCCAGAGTCAGGCCTGGAACTGCTTCAGCAGGGAAGGGTATCCTGTGTTCAGGAGAGTCAGGCCTGGAGCTGCCAGGACAGCTCTGCAGGGAAGGGTATCCTGACTGTTCGGGACAGTCAGGTTTACCTGGTGTGATGGGGGATGGTCTCCCCACAGGATATAAGCAATCCTGCTCCTCTCTGGAGAGCTGCTACAGCTGAGCTTTGCTCAGCCCCCACTTAAGGGGCCTTCCTTGTAGAGCTCTGCTTCTCCGGCCTAAGATGTTGCTTCTTTTTCTTCACTCTGCAAAAGGGGAAACCCCTGCAGAAATACAGCAATCTCCTCCAGCTCAGGAGAAAAGTATTACTTTTTCAGCTCTTCCTTGCTCTGTCCAGTGAGGGACATCTTAGCAAGGATCTTCTCTACACCACTGAATGAAGATCTTCACACCCAAAACTCTTTAGAGAAAGAGATTTATTTTGGAAGGAGTCATCCAGGAGAGCCTTTACCATGGTGGAGAGAACAGCCCACAACTGACCAGGCAGGGCAGTTTATATAGGATGCCTTGGGGGTGGAGTCAACCAGTGATTGGTTAGTTTTTTTCTGCCCAGAGATATGGTGATATTTTATTTGTACTGAAATGTGATTTTATTTATATGTTAATAAATAAAGTTGCCCGGGGGTCAGAGCTATTAGAGCCATAGTGAAAGCTGGGCGGTGGTGGTGCACGCCTTTAATCCCAGCACTTGGTAGGCAGAGCTAGGTAGATCTCTGTGTTCAAGGATACAGCCAGCATTGGAGACACACGCCTTTAATCTCAATACCAACCATAGAAGACCTGGAGGTCTGTATAGACAGGCAGTGACTAGGCAGTCATGTGTTTGGGTTTATAACCAATGAGAAGGCAGAACAGAAAGTCTATATAAAGACAAACAGACAGGAAGCAGGTCTCTTTCCAGAGGTCTCTTTGCTGAAGAGGCTAGCTGCAGCAGGCGGGTAAGGCTCTTAGCTCTGATCTCTTGGCTTTCTTCTTTGCATTGGTTCTGTGTTTCTTATTTAATAAGACGGTTGGTTACATCTACACAGAGATTGGCCAGTTTGTGGGCTAGGGACGGAGATGGCCCTGATTTCAGAGCCAAACTGTGTTTCTTTCACTGGCCTTTCTTGGCTTTTTGACACTGCCTCTAAGGCCAGGACACATTTCTTTCACTGACTCTGATTCTATGGACCAAGAGTGTTATTTTGGCACTAGTTTTAGAGTCAGGGCATGATTCTTTGGTCTGGGTTTGGGGATAAAGTGTTCATTTCTCTGGCTCAGGACCCCAACCCAGGCTGTGTTTCTTTCCCAGGTCCTGGGCCCCAGGACTGTCCTGCTCTGTGAATGGTTGGTTTCACAAGTCAGTTGTCCAGGGGCAGAGATGGCTCTGATTTGAGCCAAACTGTGTTTCTTTCACTGGCCTTATCTGAGCCATCTTTCCCTAATTCTGGGCTCCAGGGTCAGAGTGGGTTTCTTTAGCCAGCCCCTCTTCCCTATACATATGGTCTCCAGTAACAATATGCTCCATGGGTATCAACACAGCCTGCAGCAGCAGACAGAAAAATGGACACCCCAACTGTAGCATGGACCACATAAAGCAACATGGAATGGCAGCACACACAATGGAGATTTTTTGAGAAGGCCCAATCCAGAAAATGAACCATTCTCCATCTTGGACATCCCATCGGTGCTCAGAGTCAGGGTGGTCGTGGAGCTGGGTAGTACATTAAAGGACAGAGGTGGGGAGAGATCCAGGCTGCTGCTTACCACCCTGCCAGTGCTTTGTTTTTTGAGGAGGCCCAATCCAGAAAATGAACTGTTCTCTATCACAGACATCCTGATGTTGCTCAGAGCCAGGGTAATCATAGACTACCACTGAGACTAGTCTGGGATATCCTGTGGTTGCTCAGAAACAGAATGATCTTTCAGCTGGGCAGAGTATCTGAGGCAGGATCCACTACAGCTCCAGGCCTCTGCACATCTCTCTGTCCTTGGTGAAGGCCTTCCTGCTGACTCAGTAGGTATGACCTTTGTACCTATGTCCCATGGGCAGCTCCACAGCAGCGGTGTCTCCGTTGGGAACAAGAACCCACCCTACCAACCACCATCTTGAATCAATCTTCAAACATTTTTTTAAAAGTTTTGACAACAGATATTCCATACATGCCAGGGCACATTTACTGGAGATACAACCAATCTCTCTGACACTCTTCCCTGATTTTCTAACAGCAGGACACCACTCTGGCTTTGGCTTGGGTTGCTGAGGCTGAGGCGTTGGTGTGTGAGGCTCCTCCTTGGTGGCTGCAGACCAGTGATGAGGCCTGGTGCAGGATACCCAGAGCTATGGGAGAGGATGCAGGAGAGACTCTACTCCTCTGCTTCTCCCTCTAATCCTCTGCAGGGAGCTGTGTGTGCTACAGCCATCTTAGCTCAATCCTGTCCTCCCTTCATTTTTTAATTTATCTGCCATTCAAAAAAAGAACTAATGGAAAAACTTTCATATCTGGTCATAAAAGTGGAGGTCATTAATACTGACGTGATTGTACTTTAGGTTTAAGATACGATGAGCACAAACTCGTATCAAAACACTGATTTAATTTAGAATTTCCCATAGGCTCCAAAGCACCGATAAGTATAGTTCTCTATGACAGTTTTCATATTGGATGTCACCACAGATTATGCATTGATTTTGATAATTTTAGATGATAAAGAAATGAGGCAGTGACTGTAGATAACATGTTACAGGTCTCTCATGATTGCTTTGACACAAGCTATGAAACTTCTGGGTACTGTAAATAGCTATCAGGCTTGCTACAAATCCACTTCCTAGGCGTGCGGTCCCTGCCATTGCTGATCCCTCTGTCACTCAGGTAGGCACGTTCTCCTTCTCCTCGGATGGGAACCCTAAAACAAAAAACAAACAAATTTCTGCAAAGTCTGCCATTGCATTCACTCCTGCAGTGATAGCTCACTCGTCTCCACTGCTTATTTATAACATGGATCACATAAACACAGAGTCCAGGAGGAATCACCAGCACGTGATTTACACCTAGTGACTTTTACATTTTCAGGGTTCGATTTGATGACCAGACCTTTGTCATTCGTCCATGTTGAACCCTGTACTGTGTGTACAAAACATTGGACTGGTGCTTGCTGCCATGTTCAAGTGAACTTCAGCCATGGGTAACACCACAGGGTGATCATCAATTCTATCTTGAAGTATTTGTCACATGTATAAAAGTGGGAGGAAACGCAACACTTAATAAATTGCTGAAAGGCCTTTAATCATGGACATGACTGGGGCTCTATTTCACTGTTCTAGTGAAACGAGTGTGTTCAAAATGGCTATGCTCACATCCAGGAGCTGTCTGGGGTGCTCTTTGATGATGAGCCTTTAGAGGAGGTTCCCAAAGCCCCTGGAGTCTCTGCTTCTGTGACAGGTGCAGCTGTGCAAACAGCTGTCTGACAAGTTCTTACCCCAGCAGTGGCTTCCTGGGGTTTCAGAGCCCTCAGTAGCCATCAGCAGTTCTGTCTACATCTCACAAGAACAGTTATCAGTAAGGAAAGATTTTCAAGTGGTGATAGCAAACAACAGAATCTACCCTAGATGCCATCATCATACTAGGGATATGGAGTGAAATAACACTAAATAAATCCAACGGATTTAAATTTGTCAAGATGTGGAGTTTCCTGGGGATTGGCTGTTGCATTTAACACACAACTTACCCCAAGGCACGCCTCCAGCCCAAGGGTTTATTTTTCTTCCTTTCCAGTACAGTTGGCTTCATGTGACACTGTCTTTCATCTCTCATCACAACTCACACACATCACAACACATGAGCACAGCAGAAAGAAAAGAGGTCTGAAAACATACAAGTTGTTATATTCAGTGTTGTCTGTCCACCTCCATGGGTGTTGTGTTGACTCTCTGTGCAGGCCGATCCAGTGGGCAGAATCACCCTTGTATCTCATCAGGAAATTCTGTCATAAAACACAGAAAGCAAATACATGTGTCTCTCAAGCTTCAGATGACCATGGAGTCTCTGCTCTACAGTCTCTTCTCAAGATGGCAGCAGGTGAACTCAGGATAATCGACTTTGGAGTCTAAATAACCCTCAGTTCTTAGTGGATACATTTTACTACCATAATCCACAGTACAATGACAAATATATGTCTGGCCATGCAGGGTGACTATTAGCATTACAGACAGAATGTCTTTGGAATGTCTCAGGGCTACAGCCAGATGTGTTACCATCACAAATGGCACATACTAACATGTGACCCATGTCCCCTAGTGCCTGGGGTGGAATCCTTCCTCACGCTTCAGCTTTAAGCTCTCTATCTCAAGGAAGTAAATATTCAACAGAACAAACAACAAACCAATTCCTGATCCTTTCTTACCAGCTCATCCAGGCTGTCAAATTGAGCTAGATGGGCCTCCTGTGCCATACAGAAAGTCTGGCTGAATGTCCAGTTTCTCATGTCTTCAGAAAAATAAAAACATTTACTCCTAAATCCAATCCAATCTTTTGGGCAAACAGCACAGATATTTTTGATTGAGACCCGTTCTTTCTTTTCTTTTTCTGTAATGACAAAATAAAGAAAACTCCTCGCTTCACTGGATTTAACTATGGATAAATATCTGCAAGCAAATCATGACATGGTCAAAATAGGTTTTTGATATCAAAACTTTGAATGAGGCCTTCCTTTTATCATGTCACATATACATTAAATCCATATGAAAATATACCGGATTGTTAGAATGGCAATCATCAAGATATCTCACAACAGATATCAGAACTCTGGGCAGAAACAGGGACACTTACTCACTGGTGGTAGAAGTATAAACTTAAACATCCAATATGGAAGCTCCTCTAAAAATTACAAATAGATGTTTTGTGACTCATCTATGCCACATTTCTGGGTATATATTGAGAGAACACTATACCATAACACAGAGAAACTTGCACATCCATGTTTATTGCTGCCCCATTTACAATAATAACAAAATGGACCTGACCTAGATGTCCATAAAATGGCTAACAGATCATGAAAATGTGGTACATGTATAAAACAGAACATTATTCAGACATAAAGAAAAAATGAAACTTGCAACAAAGTGGGAGACCTAGAAAGTATAATATTAATTCACACAAAATCAGAAAGAAAAAGACCCCATGCATTCCCCTGTGATAATATATTGTTTGTAATCTAACAAATAAAGCTTGCCTGAAGATCAGAGGACAGAGCCAGCCACAGAGTTAGCCATAGAGGTCAGCTAGTGGTGGCATACACTTTTAACCTAGCACTCAGGAGGCAGAGGAAGAGATCCTTCTGGATCTCTGTGAGTTCAAGGCCACAATGGGCTACAAGATATTAATCCAGTCTTACAGAGAAACAGAGTCAGGCAGTGGTGGCATACAACTTTAATTCCAGCACTTGGGATCACACACCTTTAATCTCAGCACTAGGAAGTTTGAGATAGAAAGTGATAAGGCTGAGCAAAGAAAGGAATATAAGGTGGGAGGAGACAGGAACTCATACTCTTTCAGGCTGAGGAGTTGGTGAGGTAAGACATGGTGGCTGTGGCTTGCTCTGTTTCTCTGATCTTTCAGATTTCACCTTATGTCGAGTTCTGGGATCTTTATTATAAGACCATTTAGGATTCGTACAGCACACCCCCATATGCTTATCCTAGCCTATAATGCATAGTGTAAACAGCTGTGAGTGTGGACATAGTGTAACACGGAGAACAAGGAAGAGTAGTGTAAGGCGAAGAGGAAGGACAGGATGCAGCAAAGGGCACATAAGCCATGAATAGGGTTATAAAGAGCATTATTTTTTTGCTGGTATTTTTTCTAATTTGTGGCTGATAAGTGTATAAAAATGTAAATTAGGCAAAAGTCTAAAACCATGACCAAAGTTCCTTGACTTCAAAATATCTATCCTAACTGTGTGGAAGTTGAATGAGATAGATAGGATTTGGGACTTGGCAAGTGTTGGAGTGGCTATATTGATGGAGCTGTGTGATGTGTTCATTTGTGAGTCTATTATAATAAAGTGATTGTGCATGTGTGTGTGTGTGTGTGTGTGTGTGTGTGTGTGTGTGTGTGTGTGTGTTTGTAAGAAGCCCTGAATGCAGCAAGCTTTCAGAGGGCTGCTTTGAAAAATAACAGACATTTTTCTTTCATAATTTTGTCTTTTACTTCCTTTAACAGATAAGAATGAATGCATGGCTCTTTTGAAGGGTTATTGAGCCTAGAAATGAGTAGTTTGATAAGAAATATTAAATACTAGAAATGACCCACACACACACACTTATTTTAGTGTAGGACAATTTGTTACATCTGTTCCCTGTTCTCATAGGCAGGACCATGAGGATTTAATGAAAGGGACAAACACAACAGAAAATGAAGGTGACTGTATCTTCTTTTTATCTGACCCTTTTCACAGCTACATAACAGGTTAGGCTACACTGACTAAGTCTTCTTGGCAAATGTTTGTCCAAGTTCAGACTTGTGTATTATTCATTGACATGGTTAAAGTTGATTTTATAAAATAATATAATGAATCAATTACTCCAGCTATGGCAGGAAAGCTATACAAGATTATATCACATTATTCAAAATAGTCTAACAATGAAAGCTTGAGAATCACCTATTTCTGGAACATTCTATTTAATATTTTCAGACCATGGTTGAAGATGTTAACCAAAACCATGAGTCATGGTTGGGGTGAGGATTCTATACCTTCCCCAACCACATTGCTCTTCACTCCTCTCACTTCCCTTAGCTGCAGTAGCCTCCTTGAGGCTACTCCTTTGGGTTTTCTTTTCCTTGTTCTCTGCTTTCAATTGGTCTCCCAGGAGGACATATGTCTCCTGCATCTCTCTAGAGCTTGCTGAACGCCATCTTCCCAGGGATGCTGAGCTTGGCTTCCTGTGCACACCACAGCCTGTGCTGTTCCTTCACTGCATCTTCCTGCTAGACCCCAAGTTCCCAGAGAACAGGAATTTCCAGTGTGTTTTCTCCCCAGCCCTTCCCACTGTGCCTGGCTCACAGTGGTCAGTAAGTCTAAGTGACAACGTGGATGTGGACAGAATGCTGCAGAATCTGGAGATGAGTCACTCACCTGACAGTGTAACAGTCAGTGCAATTACTGCTGCAGTGAGGACGGCGATCACTGCATAGCAGCCGTAGAGCTTAGCAGGAGAGACGGAGGAGACGATTCTGAGATACTTTCCTTGGAGCTTTTTACCTGTAAAATATGAATATAAGAATGCCCACTTCTTAAGAAAAACAAAAGAAACTCACAACAAAAACCCACTTTACAACTGCCCACAAGTACCTGAAAGGAAACTGCAAACCCCTTTCAGAGAAGGTCCTGGTCCATAAAGGATGCCAGGGTGGAAAGAAGACTAGAGAGGATGGAAACAGAACCTTGACCAGGGTCTTCCAGTTTCTGAACTAAGGGTGAATCATCAAATCAAGAAACAAAAGGAGTGAGGAGCAGTGAGAAGCAACAACAACAGTCAGCTGGATTTCTCTCCATAAAGTGTTCTGGTTAGAAGGAGGAACAGACACATTAGGGGGGAAAATCAGTGTAATTAGACCTATGAACAAACTGAGAGAAGAGGAAAAATAGAAATATCTCAATAAACACACCAAAAGTATGTGAAAATTAGGAATCAGAGGAACTTCCTCAACCCTATAAAAGTTATCCATTAAAAACAAAACAATAAATCCAGCTGCAGCTGCTTGATTCCCAAGGCTGCAGTTGAGAATTCTTTCCCAGCAATCAGGAGCAGGAGCAGGATGTCTGCTCACTACTTCAGGATGACTTTTCACAGGAGGGCCTCACCAGGGCAAAGAAATGGGGTCATGTGACTGGAGAATGCTCAGCAGTTAAGACTATTTGTCTTCCATAGGACACAGGTTCAATTCCTAGCACCTACAAGGTAGCTTTCAACTGTGCACAACTCCAGTTCCAGGAGACCCATCACACTCTTCTGGTTTCTATAGGCACCAGGACGCATGTGATGAGCAAATGTGTGGATAAAACAGCCATATACATAAAAACAAAAACAAACAAAAAAAAAAAAAAACAGCCATATACATAAAATAAGTTTCTTAAAGAAAGTTTACACTTTTTGAAAACACATGAAAGTGTTTCTCTTCACAGATCACATGGTCCTATCTGCATAAAAATTCTAACACATCTACAAAAGACTACTGGATGTAAAAAATGAGTTTACAAAGCTGCAGGACACAATGTCAGCATGGCAAAGTCAGGTGCATTTTACTGTCAAAAGGAAGTTAACGTCTAATACAGCACCATTTACAGCAATGCCAAAAACCATAAAATTATACATCTAAAAAAAATTCATAATCAGCATAACAAAAACTACATGTAAAATATGAAGAAATCAGAACAGAGCTAGAGAGTTGGCTCAGGACCTGGAGTGATTCTAGCACCCACATAGCAGCTTACAACCATCTATGATTCCAGTTTCAGAAATCTGACACCGTTTCCTGACCGTGGTCAGACCTAGGAATGCATGCGATGCTAGATATTTATGCAGGGAAAACACTCATATGCATAATTTTTTTTAAATTAAAAAAAAGAAATCAAGGAAGATCTAAACACATAATTGTTGTGGGATATTTGTTCACACAGACATTCCAAGACTGCCAATAAAGTGTATCATTGAGTCATGGGCAGAGCTAGTGACTAGGTGACCAGAATTAGCCATGGATGTTTTGTAGGAGCCAAGATACATAGTGAGAGAGACACAGGAAGTAGTAGGGAGGGGCTAAGAAAGATTCCCAGGCCATTTTGTGTTGGGGAAGGCAAGAGACAGGAGGTCATTGGTTGCTTCTCCACTGCTTCTCTGACCAATCAGGTTTTTACCCCCATTACTTGACTCCCTTATTTTATTCAATAAAAGAACAATATAAATAAATGCTTCACATAATAAACTGGAACACTCAATATTGCTCATATGTCAACAATTTCTTAGCAAGTTTATATATGCAACAGTTTCACTTCCTGGGGAATAATTGCCTTCAGAAAAAATGAAACTCATAGCACCAAATTATATGAAAGGTACTATGAAAACTAAAAAAAAAATGAATAGTCCAAAATGATTCTGAAAAAGAAGGGTCGAATTCAGAGATCATTCTGCCTAATCTCTTGATTTATGGGAACAGGAATAAAAAAAATAGCACCACAGCCTGGTGCTAGGAAAAGAGTAGACACTAGAACAATACAGCAGGAAAAAATAAAAAAGACTCCAGAAGTTATATCAAACACGTATGGTCAACAGATATTTAACAGAGATGTATGGTTTATAGACTGGAAAAGGATGGCATCGCTCCAGTATGTGCTACTGAAACAACCTGGTGTCTGTCTGCTAAGAACAAGACATGAGAAAGACTGTAGATCTAAGCACAAAGCTTGATATTGTAAAGTCATTTGATTCCTCAAAAAGTGAGAGGAATGTCTCTGAACTTGTCTTGGGCAAAAATCATCTTAGATTCAAGAGAAAATTGACTGTCTAGATAACAGGAGGTTGATGAATTCGATGTTGATGTGACTCTAACGCCTTTCTTTTAGAAAGGCAAAATTGTGCAACCACTATAAAGCTGTTTGTGCAGGAACTGCACAATATGGTGATGTGCCCCCATCCTGCCCACATATCCCCGTACTGAAAGGAAAGCCGGCATTTAAGTTTCAAGAAAAAAAGAAAAAAAAAAAACTTTTACGTGTATATTTGTAGCAGCTTTAAGGATCACTGTAAAAAAAAAAAAAAAATGCAACATTTGCAATCATCCAAATGTCCTGAAGATGATGACAAGTTAAACAAACCCTCAAACAGAGGAAACAAGTTAGACCTCAAGCCTGCACTTGCCTGTTTCTCATACCACTTTACCAGGCATTGTCCCAAGGCTTCTGATTCAAAAGTCCATAAACTAAACTTATAAGCAAGTTTAAGCAAGCTTATAGGCAGTGAGCCACAGGAAACTGTTTCCTTTCTGCTTATCTGAAAAGAAACCCAAACTGCCATGACTTGCTTCCTCCTCTCACTTCTCTACAAGTTTCCCGCTAGATTTTCTTAACTTCTTTGCGCGTAACATTTGATTATGTGGTTCTTACACACTTCTGAATTGAGAGCACTCTTCCTGTGCAGGTGGTACTATGGACAGTCTCTTAGATTCTAGCCAGCGGTGTGTCTGACTCACTATTGATAGACACTGCACTGTCTGAAGAGCAGAATGTAATACTGCGATGACATGAAAGAAGTCAAAAGTGAAGTCTCTGCTTCAGGGATCCATTTTGTGACATTCTGGAAAAGTAAGTGTGTAAGGGCTGAGGACAGAGGTACAGAGTGTCTCCAACAGGGAATGGGGAAGCTGGAGTGGGGTCGGGGCCAGGGGGTCTATATATCCATTGTAAACTATTGTTTTGGATTTATTTTATGTGTATGAGTGTTTTGTCTGTGTGTATGTGTATATGTGTACTACATGCATGCCTAGTGTTGGGGGTTCTGAATAGTGTGTTATATCCCAGGAATTTGAGTTAAGGGTGAGTGTGTGCCACCATATGGATGCTGGGAATCAAAGCCAGTCCTCTGTAAGAGAAATAAATGCTCTTAATGGTTGAGCCAACTCTCGAGCCCCTATAAATCTTGATGAAGAATGCATGATTATATGTTTTCAAAAGTGATGAAGATGTACATCAAGTGAATTAATTTTACTGAATGCAAATTATACTTTTTACAAAGTTTCCACTGACTTTAGCCATTGCCTTTTGCTCGGTTTTACATATCTAAAATACCAGGAAGCCTCTCCCATCAACAATGGAGGAGAGGATATGTAGGATTGGAAGGCTTTAAGCACTAAACTGTGGCCTTTGGATTTTGGGTCCACACAAAATCTCAACCTGCATTCTTTCCAGTTATACAAAGATATAGAAAGTAGCATGATAATTCTCACGTGCTCATTTCTAGCTCCAGCACTTCTCAGCATGTGAGCAATCTGGTTTCCCTGGGTTCTACTCCGCATAGCTCCTCACACTCCCTACAGAAAGTAAATCTTGGGAGATTTCTAAACTCCTTCATATTTTGAATGCATAGACTTCCTTATGGTTACTAGTTTTGCATCCTACTTTAAAAACCAATCTTTCCAAACCCAAGAAAATAATATTAACTCCTGTCTGATTTTAGCTAGTTCTCTCAAACTAACAAGCAGTGTTAGGCTTCAATGCCTGACTAATTTCTCTCAACATGTCACCCAGGTCCACCCATGTTGTCACTAAAGAGGACACCCTCTCTTATTGGTGTGTAGTATTCCATTATATATGGGAGTTGATGAGTTTGCATCCCTGTTATTGGATATCCTCCGCCACTGATGCAATAAGCCAATCAAGTCGAATTAATAAATCCAGGTTTAATAGAGCAGAGCAAAGCATCTCCATAGTGGCTCTAGGGTAGCCTGTAGGTGTGGTCTTGATCATCTCCAGGAGGGACTGACTTTGGCGGGCTTTCTGAGGGGAGGAGCCACTACTTGGCGGGCTTTCTGAGTGGGCAGGGTCTGGAAAGGGAAGAGTAGGACCAAAGCATGGAATGCTCCACCGCCCCCCCAGCTGGAGATTCCCCAATAGGAGTATGGATCACAATTTTCCCCATTTATTCACTGATAGATGCAGATGTGTTCCACGTTCTAGCTATTGTGAACATGTTACAATACACAATCAAGTACAAATATCTCTTGGGAGAGGTAGAGAGGAAGTAGACATTATTTACTATAAAGTGGTGTCCGTCTGGTGTTTAAAGGCACAGTAGGATGAGTACAGTTCACCATAACATACAGTGTTTCTAAAAATAGCTGAGAGGGTTTCAATATATTCACCATAATGAAACAAGGAACGTGTGTTAATTTTAATGTACCAATCAAAATACACATCGTACTCTGTGTTGGAATTCCCATCCACGCCTTGATCTATACGACCACACATGTGCAGTTCAGCAGCCAAGCCAGGGGCCTTATGTCCTACATAATCCGTGCACTGTGTGGTCACAAAATCTGCACATGCGTGTATCTCTGTAAACCCATATGCTCATGTGCAGGGGAATCCGTAAGAAGCAGGACACAGACCCCTCCTCCTCTTCTTCCTTCTCTTTCTCCTCCTCCTCCTCTCTCTCTCTCTCTCTCTCTCTCTCTCTCTCTCTCTCTCTCTCTCTCTCTCTCTTTTTCCTGGTCACGCTATCTTCTGACCCTCCCCTCTCCCCTCTAATAAAACTCAGCTCTGATAAAGGACTTTGTCGTGACTCGTGACTTTTCCTCGCAAAGTAAAAGCACCGCATTAAAACCATCTCTTTGGCCTTGAGCTGTTGGGACTGGTTCATTGGCAGGGGCCCCACTGGCAGAAGAAAAAGCTTGCCGGGTTTTGTTTTAAGCCGCCCTAGGCTTTTTCTCGGGCCTGGAAGGTGATGAAGAAGGCCGCCATCTTGGGAGTTCACCATGTGTATTGCTTAGTCATGGGCTCTCTTATGGCCTTCACAGTATTTACCTAACCCCTAATCCCACAGAAGTATTTGGCTTACCAGAGAAACCGTAGTATTATTCATGAGCTTGAAAGGACCAAGCAGATGCCATAACAGGCTGCTCAGTCTTCTCTCAGAGATCAGGCCTCAATTTCAGTTTCCTGAGACTGAGCAAGCAGTCTCTGGGAGGGCCATGAACAAAAGACATAGTCCTTGCAGTAGCTCCCTTTCTGCATGTACTCTAACTGCTCAAAGTTCAGCCAGATGTTTACTGTCTGGGACCCCTCACCAACTTAGAGTTATGTGCATGAGTCAAGGACAGAGCCTAGACCACTGAGCCAGCCCCCACAGTCAGTATGTGCTTGGCCAGCCAGCCCCAATGGCGGCTCAAGGACAAAGCCTGGGACTTGTCCTGGACTGCCCCCAAAATGATAATTGTAACCCCCAACCAGTAAATTCAAAGGTTACATACCCTCACCCAATTAAAAGAG